TTGTCATTGATTACTTCACCAAGTGGCCTGAAGCGTATCCTATTCCTGATCAAGAGGCTGTTACAGTAGCTGAGGTGATGATACAGCACAGGATTTCCAGGTTCGTGGTGCCTCTTCAGTTACATTCCTATCAGGGAAGGAATTTTACCTCGGTAGTAATCAAAGAACTATGCAAACTACTCGGCATTGACAAAACCCAAACGACGCCATTACATCCCCAGTCGGACGGCATGGTAGAGAGGTTCAATCGAACCATCCTTAATAACCTCTCATTAGTGGTTTCCAGAAACCAGCAGGACTGGGACAAGAAATTACCACTCTTTTTACTGGCTTACCGCAGTGCTGTTCACGAGACTACCGGCTATTCCCCATCACAGATGCTCTTCGGTCGTGACCTTCGTCTGCCTTGTGATCTATTGTTTGGTCGCCCTCCGGATTCTCCTTCATCGTCTGAGGAATATATTTAAGATCTCCAAGCCCGGTTTGAAGTGATTCACAACTTTGCACGAGAGAGAGTCAACTTGGCGACACAGAAGATGAAGACCCGCTACGACACAAGAGCTACTGAACATCAATTCCACGAAGGAGACAAGGTGTGGATGTGGAATTCCGACTCGACGGAAAGGACTTTCCGAAATTACAGTCACCTTGGGATGGCCCGTACACAGTCCTAAAAAGGCTGAATGACGTCGTGGTTCGGATTCGTAAGTCTTCGAACTCTAAACCTAAAGTCGTTCATTACGACAGGTTAGCTCATTACTATGGCCATAGTACGTAATGTAAATAATTGTAAATAGTATAAGACCATGGTCCTTTTTGCTTTTAAATGTATATTTGATTTGATTTCTATTTAGTATTTGATTTGCATTTAGTATTTGAATTGTATTTGATAGCATTTGATTTGTTTTATTTATTGCATTTATTGTTCATGTTGTTTATTATTGTAATATAATGCTTATTAATGCATTTATGCCACAGTTGTAAGCTTAGCTTCTTATCCAGGGATTGTACTGCCCGGGACGTGCAGTCCTTGGGAAGGGAGCAGTGTTACGAATTTGGTATTTAAAAAGCTAATGTTAGTTTAATTATAAATTAAATGGTTTTATTTCTCGCGCAGTGCAGCGCGTGACGAATATTAAAAGAAAGCTAAGCCGGAAAATTGAAAATACAAGAGCGCGTGCATTAAATAAATAAATATGTCTTTTTGATTTAGAGAAAGTACCAGAAAATTTTAGCGCGTGATTTTAAAATCTTATAAAAGGAGGAAAACATCTCAGTTCGTAGTAGTTGCTTAGTTTGTTGTTGTTTAGAAAACTGCTATTGTTGATTATAGCGAATTCGCGGATTAGCTTTCTTTAGCTGTTTTGAATTACATTCTATTGGACATTTGAGTAGTTAAAAGATAACTACTGTGAGATATTGTAATACTGCATGATAATTTGAGAAAATTTAAGCATTTTTGTTGTGATAATAATAAATTTTTGTTCATTTTTCATCGGACTTGTGCATTCATTTCATAACGAACCCGTACGCACGCAACAATATCATGCAAAGTTATACATTAACTAAGTAACATCATCTATTGCGGTTTCCATCATATTTATATACTCAGAAAACACCATCAGATAAAATCATAAATCCAAAACAAGGCGAGAACGTATCAGCAAAAATAAATAAGTAAATAAATTACGAAGTTTACTTTAATATTAATTAATTTTTTTAAAAAAATAAGCATTTTATTTATTTATTAAGTTAATGGTCATAATTTATTATATGTGTACTATTTTATCAATTTGAGGCACACTGTATTAATATATGCTTTTAATTTAAATAGATAGGAAATATAGATTAAAGGAGCAAAAACTACAACTCTATACATTCACTGAGGCCCGAAATCGTGTTTTTCCCTCTCGAGATATTCCTCAAAGGGGCCCCAATGGGTAGTGCTAACACTACTGATATCGTACTGATAAGGATAGCGTCCCTACGAGATGGTAACCAAAAAAGAACCACATGATTTAAAGCAATTGCTAAGTATTTAATGCCAGAACATAATAAAATGAGCATAATAATAATAATGATCATAATAAATAAATGAATTTAAAGGTACTTTAGTGACAGATATTTGATTTAGCTTAGAGAAAAGAAGTTCTATTTATCTGAACGCTCCGTCTTAGTGCTGCAAAAGATTGCAAGGAAGACAAGACCCCCAGGTACAGGAGAACTCCCAGCCTTGAGAACGAGACAATGCAGAGGATATTCGTGAAAATTTTCTTAAATAAATGAAGATTTTCTGGAAAACAACTTTGAAAATTCAGGAGCTCTTCCAAGATCTTGCCTCCATCGTACGTGATCCTTTGATATAGACATACTGAATACAAAGGGCTCACATCGTTTATCCCAGACTAGGGCCCCAAAATTACGTTCTGGCCGGAAGTAGTAAGTTGAAGTTAAGAATTTGACAGGAAAGGAACTTAAAATTTAACTGTTAATAAAATTAACATAATCCTTACACAAGGGTTACCGTAATATTTTGTGATCGTTAATTTTGGCAATTTTAAAGTATTAACTTCACAAGTTTTCAACTTGGAAGATGCAGTTTCCTCACTAGAAATTCTAGATTCAGCATTACACGCGTTGTTTCTTAATTTTTCCTGAATTTTGCATTTAAAACTTATAATTCTTACCTGATATTCCTTTGCGGAAATTCTGTTTCTAACTCCTGTTCCGTAACTATAAGTTTTTCAATCTCAGAATCATATTCTTTAACAACTGCGATTTTTCAAGTAACATTTCGAGTAATTCTTTTAATTTCTCATCTAAAGATTCACCCTCTTCTACTAGTGCAGATTCTATTTTACTTATCAACTTAGTAGTTAAGGTACGTGTCACCTCACGCAACGTCTTTGCTTTATTCATAGCATCCATTTTACCATCAAATTCTATCAACTATAATAATCAATTTTTTATTCAACAAATCTATTCAAAACTGAAAAAGCCAAATCTATTCAAAACTGAAAAAGACAAATCCATTCAAAACTAAAAATGAAAAAGAGTCTACCTCGAATTTCTTCATATTAAATCCTAGCTCACTAATTTTCATGAATTCACTAATTTTCTTTGGCCATTCTTCATCTCCACTAATCATGTCCGGCGTCACCAGAAAAATGTACTTTTCCAAATGATTGCTTGTTGTTGCGTGTTTCTTGATCTATTACACCAATATATTTTACTGTATATTTTTTTTACAATTTATTTACAAGCGGTATTCCACCTGGCATGTTTACAAGCGTTATGCCTCCTGGCATGTACATGATACACATATTCTGCCACTTGGCATATAAATTGATACATCGTACTAGTTTTCTGCCACCTGGCAGATAAGATGCAATTATATCAATTAACGGCAATACGCCGGACATATTGGCGTGTCCGCTCCCTTTACGTTCTATAACGCAACTAACTGTTTGTGCGGTGCGCCCTCTGGCTACAAATCACTGCAATCACCGAGAAGACCAAAACACTATGACAAAACAATTCTCCCTCTATTCTACTTCAAAAGCACAATATTCTTTTACGCTTTCCACTTTTCTTTTATTATCTGGTCCTGAAAGTGACAAGGCAAGAGTTGTTAATAAATACAATAAAATGAAAAGAGCAAAATATCACACAGCGCTGATAGTCAGTAATCGCCTACCGATGTGACGCCGGACCTGATTAGTGGAGATAAGGAATGGTCGAAGAAAATTAGTGAATTCATGGTAATTAATGAGTTAATAACGGAAAGCTGGGATTTAATGCGAAGAAATTCGAGGTAGGCCCTTTTTCATTTTTCCAGTTTTGAATAGAACTGTTGAATAAAAAGAAGGGCTAGCTTATTCCTTTGTGTGACTGGTCGCCGACCCAATCCTCGTAGGGGAAGTTAACAGAAAGTAGTCTGAAATAACTATTGCATTAGCTCTGACTTCGATTGTTTAAGTATGTAGTTAAATTCTGGTGCGAAGCGATATTTCAGCAATGTGTTATCCAAATTTAATTTAATCACATATATTCTTTTCTAATAAAGCATTGTCAAAATCAAATTGAGGCCTACGAGCGGTATGCGGCCCTCGAAGTAATTTAATGCTGTTTCTGAATACATTTCCCGTAAATTAATTAGAATGATTACGACAAGTATTCGAAGGAAACATTCAAGATTTTAATGGTTTGAAGTCCAGTTTTAAGTTATTTTTGTTACCAGAAACGAACATAACTCTTCGGAAAATCTTGAGACAGAGATAATTAATTTACACTGTGATATAAATCTTGTTCAAAGACCTTTTAAGATACAAATTTGATTAACTTTTACTAGAACTTGTCAAAAGATCTTAAGTTACGAAATTTTGGAATAAGAATAATCGCTTTATTTTTTAGTACATTTATATGAAGACAGTTTTTTTTCCCATAGTTGAAAATTAATAAATCTACGAGAAGAACCAGGCTGCCGATAAATATCTACAATTGTGATGATACTTCTTAGTAATATGAAAATTGAAACGTTATGAGGTGTAGTTGAAAGGTGTAGTAAAAAACAAAGATGTTTACACTAATTTACATACAAATATTATTTTTTATGTTTTGCGTCATAGAGAAACCTAATAAATAAAAGAAAGAGAATAGGTTGTAATTATTTATTCTCAAGGTCTGTCCCCCTTGGGAAGCTTTCGTATATTTCTTTTTAGTTTAAATTAAAAGTAAGTTACTTAATAGTTCAATATATTACAATTAGTGGTTTGACTTCTAAATTAATATTTGTTCGGCATGTTATTTTTACCTAAATTTTAACTAGGTAATTTTAAGGAATGTGAAATTTTACTTCCTTTAGATAAAGCAATTATTTCGATGATGAAATTGATTGATTCTGCGATTTCACTTCGTTCTAAGAAACATTAATGTTGCTGATGGTGTTGTTCACTGTTATGTATCTCATTTCATTTAGAAAGTCATCGAATTCTTTCATGAACTGCAAGACACGTAGTTTTGATATCGAAATTATATCATCAGCTATGCCAAATTGCCAAATTTATGAAACACGAATGTTTAATATTAGAAGCCAGTTGGTGTAGCAGTATTCCTTAATTCATACTACCTGTTAGAAAATTTGCGAAAAGAATTGAAGAAGATTTAAAAACTGGAAGAAAATACAAAATACCGTTTATTATCTTTTTGCGGTTAAACTTTTTATCAATTCACTGCAGAATATCAGATGCCAATGGAATGAATGCAACTTCCGGCAGTAACACAAGATGGCTTCTAGGAGGAAGACCGCCGAGGATAAAAATACTAAACTGTTACGAGAACTTGCTTCTCTGCCATACAATAAACAATGTTTCGATTGCCTTCAAAGAGGACCAACATATATAAATGTTACGATTGGTTCTTTTGTATGTACAACTTGCAGTGGGATATTGTAAGTTAATTTACTACAATCTTTTCCTACTCTCTATTCATGTGATTAGCGTTGCAATGTGCGTCGTAATGTTTTCTGTTAATTTCTGTTTACCTTTTTTCCGATTTTTTTGTTATTAGCATTTTAGAAGACGTTTCTGGTGCTTATCGTCAAACAATCGGAGTGTGACTTTTCAGTTTTTAAAAATAATTGCAAAATTTATATTTGACAGCGCAGTAGGGATTTGGGATACTATGACATGATAATGTTATTAATTGGAAATATTGTGTTTAAGACATAAGTTTTCTTGCATAAAACGTCTCAATCTGCATTGCATTTTATGCATTTAATATATGTGGGAGCTGCATGAAACTGTGAGAATTATGCAGAAACAGTGTTTACCAGAAGTAAGATATGTATTTCGAATCCTTCAGTTATTTTGCTTGGTAATTATACGAGTATTAAGAAAATCACGTGACATAAAAATGTTATTGTCATTAAATTTCGTAACCTTTTAGTTCACAAATGTTTTAGAACCTAGTTGTTTAAAAAACACTTAAGAACTGTGAATTCTCTATTGAGTTTAAAGTAGTTGCAATAAATATTTCTTTTGACATTTCTTTGCGTTGGATTTGAGTAATTTTTGCGGTATTTTTGTGGCTACTTCTTTGCATTCATTAACTCCCTGAAGTTTTTGTGTTGCTGAAGAAGCTAAAATTTCATTAAGGGTCAAGAAATTCGGTAATAACTAGTAGTATTAAAAATTGCGGAATGCACATATTGCTACCGAAACTGTTTTGTAATATTTTATTATACCAGAAAAAGTAAAATTTATAAAAAGGCCATAACCTTTCTGAAGGTCCTTGATAAAATGCTAATTCCTGCCTGAAGGAAATAACTTCAACAAGTTGCTGTCTACCTACTAGTGATGCAGTTATTGTGAAATTCCTGTTTTAAGAGCTGGTAAAAGTAACTACTGGATTATATTATTATCATAAGTGACTATATACTTAAAAATTCCACTTGTTTTAAATTGAAATAATGTTATAAAGGTCAGGATAATATGTTTTGGTATTTCATCTTAATATTTTAAACTAGTCGCTGAATATCCCCCTCACTCTTTTCTCCTGTATGTGGTATCAATATAAATAAGTTTATCTTAGGTAGTTTTTTAAGGTGGTCATAATTCATCAAAAAATTTTTTTATGGAATTATTTTCTTATTTTATTTTTCCTGTATGAATTTATCACTTTTGGTGTTTAAAATATTTTATCAAATTTTTCACTGTTATTTTTTATTTGTGTGCATTGTACTGTAAAATAACTTGCCATCAAATATATTTATGTAACATAGAATTTTATTCATAAGTCTTATATAATTATTGTTCGTATGTTCATATACCATGAGATTAAAACATCATAAGAGGTTTGTGAGATTCTAATGTTATTAATAAAATAAAAATGGATGTGTCATAGTGTTAGCATAATGTTAAAATCATAAATCTGTAAAATTATTTTGAAGAGTCATTTAAATGTTCATAAAGACTGGCACTTTGGCAAAAATTGAATTGCTTTGATAATGCAATACTTTCATATGTACCGCTTTTCCTATTTCTCTTTGCATAGAATAAAACATTTAAAAGTAACTAGGGAATGCATTTAGGCGAAAAGACTTTTGACGATCCAGGGTTCTGGAATGGTACTGCTGACAGTATTTGATTAAAAATCTCCAACTTAAGTGGATATAACAGCCAATTCTTCTGGTTTTTCGTCAAATAAAAACTGGGACATTGGATAATCTATTAATTTTATTTTAACTGAGGAAAGCTTTTTTAACAAAAACATTTCCTAGCAATAAATGGAATTTAAATTATGAGAATTCCATTGTCTCTAGTGAATTTCAGCATAATTTTTCTTGTTTAATTTTATTTGATCTGAATTTTCATCATGTGCTGTAGACATTTATAGAACTCAGTATGAAGATTCTAATCAGTTAATATTTGGATTTGATTTGCTTTAATTAATAAAGGTACTTTAATTATTAATTTTATTCTCATTGTTTTTAAAAATATTTTGATAAGCTTTTATTCCCTGCTCAGGATTTTCACACTATAAAAATGTCAGAAAATTACAAAATGAAATTTACCAAAGAACATAAAATATAGAATATCTAATTTAATATTATTATCGGCTAATCTTTGAAATATGGTAACAGGTAGTTTGCTGACATTTTGGTAGGCGATAAAGGTTACTACCTAGGACTTTGGGAATAATGTGAGAAGTAGTCAGTTCCGATTACGCATTATTTTGTGTGAGGGAAATGAGAGATCATGAGATATGTCATGTGACATTTATGAACGAATCACAGTTCTTTAATCGGAAAAAGGGGTAAATTTGTAAAAATATCTGCCGTACTTTATAGCATTAGGTTCATTCTATGTTCTGTGAAGTGTTGCTTAATATTTGGATCCCATGGCCCTATGAAAAGTAAATCCGAAATTTTATGTGTAATCAAAAAGAATTGCTTGAATGGTGTATGAGCGTAGAATTAATTGTGGATAAGTATGAATGTTCAACATGTGGGAATGAAATGAGATTGTGTGAAAGGAAGGATATTACAGATAGGCTTGAATGGCGGTGCAAGAAATCAGGTGAAAATGGACATTTTGTGAAACGGAGTGTAAGGAAGGGTACGTGGTTTGCTGAAAGTCGTTTGCGTATGGGGGAAATTTTATTAATTTCTTATTAGTGGGTGAATAGACTGCCAGTTGACTACTGGATTATTTAATCTATAAGAAAAGTTTATCTGCCATGCAATCAAGAGTGTGAAGAAGATTAGGTAAGTTAGTATTTTTAATCATTTGAGGATATTATTTTTATGCATCTAAGGAATAAATAAATTAATATGGTATTATTGGGAAATTGTTATTAGCAATGAGTTAGTTTAAAGTAATTAGGATTGTAAGCTCATTTTGGTTGATCTTTACATTATGGTAACTTGGCGTTTTTTTGGCGAAAATTTGGCGACCAACTCTCCTACAGCAACCCTCTATTTTTTTTTTCCCGCCGCCGAAGACATGTTTGTTTTCTTTTTATCTACTGAACACTTCTTCCAACAATCTACTAGCCGAATTACACTTATGGTAGAAATTTTATCTAACAAAACTGCTTAATCATGACAAATATTCACTGCAAAAATGGGGGGAAAAAGTGCACAATACCATACTCCTTACGCGTTTTTCAAAATAACACATACACATAAACCATGTACACGCCAACTTATTTTTACTTAAAAAAAACATCCCAGAATTGCACAAAAATGGCATTGCGCACACTCTTCACTATATCCATGTACACTGCTTTTTTCTCATAAATTAGAAAAATTTCACGAAAATACATGACAATTTTCTCAATCTTTAAACCCAGTAAAAAGAACATATATGAAATTACCTGATCGCGAAAAAGTATTTACCCTTTCCAAATATGAACATTTCCACATATAAAATAAATAAAATATCCAAAAACTTTTACCTCTAAATCATCTATTATATTATAAACGTCACCAACGAATTCATACCGCAACCATTACAAATACTTAGTGTCAGATTTAAATTATTTCCATGCACGTTTACTTCAACTGAAACGTATACCAAATTCCTACAAATATAAAATTCACAAAATAACTATCATTTAATTAAAATATAATTAAATTCAAAAACACTACTTAAAATATAAATGAGCACATACATTAAATTAATAAAAATTACCTTACAATCCTAATTACTTTAAACTAAATCATTGCTAATAACAATTTTCCCAATAATACCAAATTCCTTTACTTCCACCTTAAATTTAGAACAATGCATAAAAATAATATCCTCAAATAATTAAAAATACTAACTAACCTCATCTTCTTCAGAATCTTGATTACGTGTCCGATAAACTTTTCTTTAGTTACGGCCATGGGATCCAAAAATTCACAAACACTGTTTCACACAACACAGAATAAACCAAATACAAAATTTCCAGATTTTTTCCCGATTTCCCCCCTTTTCCGATTAAAGAACCGTAATTCGTCCATTAATATCACATGACATATCCCATGATCTCTCATTTCTCTCACACAAAATAATGCGTAATCGGAACTGAGTACTGCTCACATTATTACCAAAGTCCCAGGTAGTAACCTTTATCGCCTCCAAAATGTCGCCAAACTACCAGTTACCATATTGTAAAGATCAACCCTAATTTTTATTAATTTAATGTATGTGCTTATTTATATTTTAAGTAGTGTTTTTTAATTTAATTATATTTTAATTTAATGATCGTGATTTTGTGAGTTTGTAGTATTTTGGAATACGTTTGAATAGAAGTAAATGTGCATGGAAAGAATTTAAATATTTGACACTAAGTATTTGGAACCATTCTTAATGTTTGCATTATAAATTTGCAGGTGACGTTTATAATAGATAATTTAGAGAGAAAAATTTTGGGATATTTTATTTATTTTATATGTGCAAATGTTCATCCTTGGAAAGGGCATATACTTTGTGATCAGGTAATTTCATATATGTCCTTTTTACCGAATTTAAAGATTCACAAAATTTTCCTGCATTTTCGTGAAATTTTTCTAATTTATGAGAAAAAGCAGTGTACATGGATATAGTGAAGAGTGTGTGCAATGCCATTTTTGTGCAATTCTGGGATTTTTTTTAAGTAAAAATAAGTCGACATGTACATGGTTTAATTACATTTTAATTAAATGCTAGTTATTTTGTGAATATATGTTTGTAGCAATTTGGAATACGTTTCAGTAGAAGTAAACGTGCGTGGAAATAATTTAAATATTTGACACTAAGTATTTGCAACCATTTTTAATGTTTGCGTTATAAATTCGTTGGTGACGTTTTATAATAGATAATTTAGAGGGAAAAGTTTTTGGATATTTTATTTATTTTATACGTGGAAATGTTCATCCTTGGAAAGGGTATATACTTTTTCGCGATTAGGTTAATTTCATTTATGAGCTTTTTACCAAGTTTAAAAATTCACAAAATTTTCCTGCATTTTCGTGTAAATTTTTCTAATTTATGAGAAAAAAGCAGTGTACATGGATAAAGTGAAGAGTGTGCGCAATGCCATTTTTGTGCAATTCTGGGATGGTTTTTTAAGTAAAAATAAGTTGACGTGTATATGGTTACTGTGAATGTGCGATTCTGAAAAACGTGGCAAGGAGTTTGCAATTCTGCACTTTTTCCCAATTTTGCAGTTAATATTTGTCATGATTAAGCAGTTTTGTTCCATAAAATTTCTAGCATAAGTGTAATTCAGCTAGCAGATTGTTGGAAAAAGTGCTCAGTAAATAAAAAGAAAAGAAACATGTCTTTACTTCGTGAAGACAAAATGGCGCCGAAAAAAAAAAAGTAGAAGGTTGCTGTAGCAGAGTTGGTCGGCAAATTTTCGCTAACAAATCGCCGAGTTACGATAATCCAAAGATCAACCTTATTATCTTTTGTATCGGAATCGGATAAATAGGCTGTTGCCTTGAATGGTCTACCAGCAGCCAAGCGGTAAGGTCTCTGAACACTTGTAGTTTGGTTCGAATCCCAGGCTGACTGAATGGGTGTTTTCGTGTTTTTCCCGTGTGTAACATGTATGTAAACTAGCTTGTCTTAGAAAGTCCTCCACGAAAGCATCCCTCCTATTAAGCAGATAACTCTCGAGTGCTTTGCCGTAATTAAATAAACCAAACCAATGTCTTGAATCAAGTATTATAGAATGAATTTTGGAGTTCTTTTGAAACCATGTCACAGTATAGTGCAAAAATCTTCCAAGGAACCTCAAGTTGGCAGCTATGAGTTGAGTGCTATGTTTTGTTTTCATGCGAGTTGAAGGTTCTGGTATTAAAGGTATTTATTTTTAATTGCAATATATCCCTATATAGATATTTTTGTTAGTTTAGTGTAATATTTAAAAAAATATATTAGCATTTGATTTTTTTATAAGTAATGTTATAAAAGCAAAATGTAAAATTGAATTACATTTTCATCTCTTAGTGATTATTTGTTAATGATTTAGTTTTGATAATAAGTATTAAAAGATGCTCAGAATTTTATGAATTAAGTTATGGTTTTTAGTAAATTAGAGAACTTAATAATTCTGTATAACTGGCAGGAACATTTATAACTTAATAATAATTTTATGAATTAATAAATAATGTTTAACTTCAGAATTTTTTTTGCAAAATTTCATGATATAAGTTGTATTAATTAAATAAAAGATAATTGAATAAATTTAAATGTTAAAGGGAAATCATAGTGTAAGTGTAATATCCCTCAGTAAGTACGTACAGCTATTACTTTAAGATACACTACTGTGTTGAATTTCAAGCAGTGCATCATGAAAATTAAATTTTTAAAATTAAGAATACATTTTAAGATCTTCAGAAAGGAAATTTGTATGAAAAATATGCATTTATCTTAAAGACATTGATGTATATTACTGTGAAACATGTATCAAACTGTCAGCACTTGTAAGTTCCCATAGAAAGTTTGCTTTTGAATAAATGGAATGATTTCCTAATAGTCAGTATGCAAGTGTTTAATACTGAGTAGTAGCTTGTTATGAGTTTAGTTTGATCCTAGCTTGATATGATTTTTGTTTGATCCGAGGCTGTCTTCATAATTGGTTTTCGTGTTTTATCCCACACGCTATGGGAAACGAATGAGTTTCCCTCAGGTTACTCTATTATTCTAGAAGGGTATCTAAGCAGGTAGCCCTTGTGACATTACTATATTCAAATAATGTAATCTAACCTAACCTAATTGTAATCATTTGAAACAGTGCTTAATTGATTTTTCTCTCTTGATGATAAATTGAATGATTATAAAATGGGAACTAAAGTCATCGTAATAAAAAGTTTGTTTTGAATTTCAACATCATATTTCCTCATACCAACATTTTCTTTATCAAAAATGATAAAATATAAACTTGTTGCCTAAATTTTTTCTAGTTTACTACATATTTAAAGTCTAGAAAAGTTTAAAATCTTATGTGTAATTTCTATTGAATGCACATATTTTTACTTTACCATAAAATTAGAATATATATAATTAGAAGAATATCATTGTGAGTTGAGGATTACCTGTATGTTAATCTTTATTAAGATTTTATTTACCACTAGTGTACAGATAGACTATATATATTGGACTATCAGGGTTAGAGCCAGTGTGACAAATGCATTTACACCTTGCAGCAGAATTTATTGGCAACAAAATTTTCAGAATTTAAGAATGAACTGGGCCTCAGAATTTCAAAGTTTCCCAAGTTTTCACTGGTCAGCCAAAACATCTAGCACTGGTCCTGGTGACAGGGGCGTAGCTAGAGGGGGGCAAGAGGGGGCATCTGTCCCCGGGCGCAGAATCCAAGGGGCGCCAAACTGATGTTAGGACATTTTAGAATTAAATGTTTTCCATCCTTGGCAAGCAGTAGGGGGCGCGAAATCTTCAGTTGTCCCTAGGCGCTGAAAACCCTAGCTACGACTCTGCCTGGTGACTGAATGAAAAGATCATACTTTAGTTACACTTTCCACTTATGTTTCTTATTTCCTTAACCAGATGCTGCTGTGTACATACTTTTTAAATTTGATTTCTATTACAAATCTCATCATTAGGCCTTTTTTTCCATGAATGTTTTCAAGACTTGTGTTTTAGGACACATGTGAAAGATAGCATATATGCTTCAGTTTTTTTTAATGTATTTAGAGACAGTTATATTTATAGAAGATTATAGCAGTTATAATTATAGAAGTTTATAAACTGCTTCAGGTTTTCAGTAAAATTTTCTGATCATGTATAATTTAATAGTGATTTGATCATTTTGTGGCTTATTCTCAAAAGCTTGCTTTAACTCAAAGGAGGAGTTTTATCTTTCAATCAAAATCTCATAATCATCAATGCTAGCTTTTCACTTTAAACATTTGTATTAAATTTTATGTGTACAAAATTATATTATGCAAATGAAATTCTAAGTGAATTCGACATTTTGTGAGTCATTCTTGCTCTGCAACATTCCATCATCGACTGCTATGCACATTATTATCTAAGTCAGTTATTATCTTTTCTTGAACCAGTTTTACTCTTCATTGGATCTCCTTTCTTCAGTATTGCATGATGTGGTGTTGTTAGGATCACACTGTAGATTACCAATAAAACCTTTCCTCTCCAAATAATACAGCAGATTTCATACATTTCAGTTGGAAGTAATCTGTCTGTATCTGTTTTTGACCTGCACAATACCAAAAGAACTTTGGAAGCATGTGTAAAATCATCTCAAAGATCAAGGTAAACAAACAGTTAATGGTATCTGCAAGGTTGCTTGATTGTTTTATATATGTCAGCAAATTTAACTCTTTCATAACCAAACTGCTCAAGATGGTCTTCATTCAAACGGCCACCTGAGACTGCATGGTTGGTTTCTACCTTCCCTGTAAACTACATAATAGTTTAAGGTGCAGTTTCCCTAAGTGCATTGTATCAATTCATTTTTATTAAAGGGTGACTTGGTATACACTTGTGGTTGAGTATAATTCTTTGTTAGGAGCTAGAAATTGTATTATTTGGAACTTTTACACTTCTTTTGTTCATTAATGAATAAGGGAAAAAATTGTCAAAATGGATTTTGAGTTGTATTGGTATTTTAAGTAAACTGGCGAGTGAAGGCTTGGGGCATCAAAGAGTTAATGGATAAACCAATCATAAGAATGTGCCATGATAGCATTTGATTTTCAGAGATTTTGGTATCAGTAACATGACATGTATTGAATACCTTTCCTAGTCACCAAATTTAGTTTCCAGTGACTTTTTCCTTCTTTCTTTTAATGCTTTCTTCTTAATGCTGTAAAGGAAATCATTTAGCATCATAAAGTTCTAAAAGAACTGTAGGTGGTGTTGAGCAAGAATTGAATACAATTTTGTGAAGACTTTCTAATCATTGGATCATCTCTGGATTGAGGATTTACTTTGCAAAGGGGGCATTTTTAAAGTTAGCAGAGGAGAATGAAATATAATTCTACATTATAAATATTTTAAAGAAATTTTTCAATTCTTTGCTTATTGTATCATCTAATTATATAAAGTAATTATATTAATAATTATATATAAAATATAATATATATTTATATAAAGTAATGCCACTTTTGAAACTGTTGGTGAAATGATTACATTAATAAACTAATTATAGATTGTTTGGATTATGACAAAACACACTATGGCTATGTGTGGAAAAAGAGAGGCCTACTTGGAAGACTTTAAATAGAGAATGCCTGAATTCACATGGATAAAACTGTAAAAGCTGCCAAGCAGTCTTCATTTGCTGGGACTTGAATGCTGCTCTAACTGTTAGTGTGAAACTGATTTATCCACTTGGCCACAGGCACACTAATACAACTACCCCCCTCCAAATGACAAATTAAATTCTAAGAAAACTTATAGATCTAATTAGGAAATGCATGAAGTGTTATACCCTAAATTATTTATGTAGTTTAAATTAAGAAAATTGATTAAATCTAATGTATTTATTTAAATATGAATAAATTAATACTGAAATCAAGCTTAGAATAATTATAGAGAACTTATTACTTAGAATAATTATCACTAAGAAAGTCATTTACTAATTTTTATATTTAAATTGATACATTGATTCAGTGTTTAGATCTTCTTTAAAGTTTACTATTGACTAAAATATTAATTTTTGCTACTTTCATCTTTTTTATATTTGTGTACATTTTTTAATATAATTATTCTCTGTTAAACTTGGATTTTCATTTTTCTAGGAGAGGATTAACACCTCCTCATCGAGTAAAATCGATATCTATGACAACATTTACTCCGGAAGAAATAGAACATCTGAAAAGTAGAGGTAATGAGGTATGAAACAAAATTTTGTTTGTAATGTTTTTGGTTTTTAAATTAAAAATTTTGTTATGAAGTTCTAATGTTTTTTACACTAAATCTGGAAACTGAGATACTCTTCAGTAAGCAAGAACAAAACTGCTTATATCACTGTGACAATTTTCTTAGCCACCTGAGGGTTTGTGAGAGCCATGGAAGTTATAATCTTGAAATGTATCAGCAGTTTTTGAAAGACAGCATGTAGGTATAGAGTTCAGCAGTGATATGCTATAAAAATTTTTAAAAAGGGCTCACACTTATCAAAAAAAGAATCAGAGTATAATTAAATATTTTACCTTTTTAAAAAGAGGTAATACAAATACTTTGGCATAAACAAAAAAATATTTAAAAAAATCCTTAGATTTTATTTTTAAAAAATTACACAAATTATGCAAAAAAATCACTAAATTTAATTTTGATGCGCAATTTATGCCAGAAGCTGCTGAACATTATTGTCTTCTTTCAAATTACTTGTGATCTTAAGAAGCACTGAATACTTCCTAAGCCAATGGTGACTGTATGCAACTGCAGCAAAAATATATTCACAAAAAAGCCAAATCTAATAAATGCGCTCATTTCATCATAGCCTGCACATGAATTTAGATTTTTCTAAATATGTGTGAATTTAGACTGCACGTAAATATATATAGTTCTGTTGAAAATTAGAGTAAATTCGGATACTTCTATAGCACGTAAATGTAGATTGTTCTAAGCTACCATTGAAATACTGGTTTAATTTTTTTAAAAAAATTTTATAATGCTGTAGATCTAACAATTTGGGAATTCGTCAAGGATGAAAAATCTGCAGTAGAAGATTTTCAGATAAAAAGCATAATTCATGGTAGAAAAATATGCTTGAAGAGGAAAGACTCCTGTAATGAGAAAAAAGGATTAAGCCGCCATTACTCACATGAGAAAAACGAATGGGATTGCTCGCACTGGGTATGACATATCCAGAGCGGTTTCTGTCTCTCTTTTACCATTAAATCTGCACAAAATGTAAAAGAACAAAAACATGGAAGAGAAAACATAGTTTTAAACATATATTGAAAATTTTACCTTTAGTTTGCACACTTTCAGCAAATGCATGCTATATGTTCCATGTATACGTGTTTTTCACATTTTTCACTTAGAAACTTAGCTTTTCTGTCATTTTTGGCCCCGCATTCAGCACATATTTTATATGTTATCTTTACCTTCTTAGCAGGAGGTGTATCGGCCTCATTCTTGCCTATTTTTACTTCCTTGTACGAAGTAAAAAGGAAGTATTTTAATCGCGAAAAGTTTCGGGCGGCATATTTCAACGAAAATATCCATTTTGACCGCTATCGAATGCAATTGAACGATGGTTTTGCATGATATCTGTACGTAAGGACAGAATAAAATACTCTTTTCCTTCAAAAAAATTATAAAACTGCTTTAAAATTAATTCTGAAGAGAATTTTTCGTGGCGTCTGTACGAACGTATGTATGTACGTGCGTACGTACATATCTCGCATAACTCAAAAACGAGTAGCCTCAGAACGTTGAAATTTTGTATATAGGACTGCTTTAACATGTAGATGTGCACCTCGTATTTTAACTGCAATCGGCCTCACCAAACGTATATAAATATATTTATATATATATCCAATCTGTTACCCGGCTCAGTGATCTCACTTTCTTTACTCTTATATGTTTGTAAATTGTACATTTTTTGCTTTAAAAATGATTGAATTATGTTGTTCTTATCTTCCGGTTAAGGTTTTTATGCCTTTAGTAAATCTCTATGCAATATTTTTAGAATTACCAACAATTTTAAAGTTGTTTAAGTGCCACTAAGCCTAATACTTCTCTTGATGGCGGCCATTGATGTTTACATTTGAAACAGGAGACTAGTGGATTTGTTGCCAATCTAGAGAAACTTAGCTTCGCAACAACAAAGATAGCGCCTTCATTTATCATTGCGAATTAAATCATGCTTAATCCTTTCTGGAAATTTTCGAGGAAATAAGTGTTTAAGATTTACTTCATAATTTTTAATACAGATATTTTGATTTTTTATGTATTTTTGCCTTGTCGCGAAGTGAGAACTGAATTAATCGATTGAGAAATACTCAATCGTCTGTGAAAACTGTTTCTTTTTTTGTTTTGTTTGCTTAATTTCTTTTATACATCGTTCTAGCTTTATTATAGTATTTGAATAGAACATGTGGCAACGATTAGATAATTCCTTTAAATGATATAAATTTTGTGCATTCTGTGTTATAATATGAACAAAATATAATACTGTTAAGTGAATCTAGCGCCAGAGTGTCGCTATGGTAAACAAATAGAGTGAATGCATTTATTCTATTGTGGTTTATGCGCTGTCGGCAAAGCAGATTTAATTCAATCCAATAAGTTTAAATGAAATGCAATGCAAGAAAAAATGCTTATAATTTAATATTTCATACAAGGAAGTCGTGGTGTACACATCAGATTTTTACTTTTAGGCTTTGTAGGAGCATTCCTAGTTGACTTCTTATCTTCTTATAATCTTCTATCAGTTGAAATGGCAGTGTTTTTAGAAATGAGCGTCGGGCTCGATGCCCAGTAGGTGGTTTCCTTGTTGGAAACAAAATTATGTGTGCATTTATTGCAGCAACATTCAACATGGAATTAAAAATAGCCGTAGGCCAACGACTTGTTTTTTTAGCCATTGAATACGTTGCAGCCATTTCATCTATGACATCCACGTATTATATTTTTAGAAGAAATTCTAACATTTCCACAGAATTTCATTTTACTTTATTTTGTTACATTATTCTTTTCTATGAAATAATCACTTTCATTTAAATCAGAAAGATTGCCCTCTAAATCAGATTCTATTTCAGGCGAAGATTCATGTTCACTGTAAATTGCTTCATCATCCGCCTCTTCATTATCGGAAAACTCATTACCTTCCTAAAGACTTTCTCCACTCAAAGAAACAGTATCAAGTAAATTACTCAAATGTCTCATTTCTTCCTCATAACTACGAAAACGCACCATAATGAGAGTACGATTTCAGTGCGTCTACCAGTACTCAGAATTGTAATAGTAATGCTCGCACTTGGTGTGATGTACCCTGGAGTGGCGATTACAAGATATCTATTTTTAGAACTCTTTCCTTATTCTTCCCTTCCAGGGTTATGACCTTGGGGACAGCTACAAGAAAAATCGGTACTATTCCATTTTGAGGGTTGTAAAAAAATTGCAGCAAAAATGTATGCTCAAAAGCACCAAATCTAGCAAACACGCATCAAATCTAGCGTACGCACTGATTTCAGATTGCGTAAGTTATATAGTTCTATATTTCTTAAGACGCCATTAAAATACTAGTTTAATTTTTAAATCCTTTTTTTGATATCCTATGGATTTAACAATTTGGGAATTGCCCATGACGAAAAGTGGGCAATAGAATTTTGGGTAAAGTGCAGAATCACCCACTGCTTGACGCGTTTTTAAGAATTGCACATATGCGGTGTCCATCTGCACATTGACCTACTTTCACTTAAAAAAAATCCTAAAATTGCACAAAAATCGCACTGCGTACATCCTTGACTTTATCCATGTAAACATCAACTTATTTTCACTTAAAAAGTAAAAGAAAATTGACAAAAATCCAATTGTTTATACCCTTGTAAAAAGAGGAAACAAATAAGTGAGCAATTCTGCACTTTACCGAAAATATTTTCAAAGAAAAGGCATCATTCATTATAGAAAATTACATTTGAACAACCAACGAGATGAAATTATGCTTTAGCGATAAGTTGGTAGCGAAATAGCGATGCAGGCATCCATTCAGTTATGTTTAGCAATTTTTAAATAAATTATAATAATGATCTGAAATAGTTATTTACTCATATGCTTCCATTCAGTCATGTTTAGCCTTTTTCATATAAATTATAATAATGAAAATGTATTATATAAAACTAACCTTTCATCTAAATTAAAACATCAATCTTAGATAGTTATTTACTATTATACTTCCTTTCTTGCCGCAATTATTAGGGTTGCCGGAATTATTTTTGGCAGCCTTGTCATCAACAATAGTTTGGCAATTTTTTACAGCCCTCGAAACCGAATAGTACCGAAAAATCATCCATTTTGAAAAGAACGGTTGGGGAGAAGCAATAAAAAAATGGAGAGGGTGGGTATGACATACCCAGCACAATCAAACCTGGGTTAAGAACACAAAATTGATTCAAAAGTTCAATAATCTCCAGCCTTGAGGTTCATCTTTTTGGTGTCATAAAATGACATCTGTTTAATTTTGTTTACTTCAATTGAAGATGAACCACAAACTGTAGACTGGAACAGTTATACGTGTAGGAGGTTTGTTGAAGCTTTAATTACTTAGTCTGCATTGAATATTGGCTGATATCGCAAGATCTTTGAAGTAGATGAAAGTCTTTTCACTTGAAGAAAGAACAATGTTGGGCGTGTTCTGCCATCATCATGCCAATGTTCTGCCATCATCAGATTGTAGAGAGAATCAAATGAATGATTTTTATCCAAATCAATTGGCAAACACTTTATTGAATGTCACGAAGGAAAATATTGCAGATGGAAGCATTATTTAATGCGATTGCTGGAAAAATGTAAATTAGATGCGAGATGCTGCCTTGAACTTTTACTGTTAGTCGCAAATATAATTTTGTAGACCCCGAAAGTAGGTGTCATATGCAAACAATAGAGTAGCTAATAGGCAGTACTAAATGGTGTAACAAACACCATTGAGGTATTGCTTGACAGTATTTCGATTCTTATTTGTCTGAGTTTATGTGGAGATGTTTACATGAAGGAACCAAAATTTTTTCTGCGGAAGAGATAAAAAGTTGTACCTTCCATTTGATTTCAATCATGTTTAGCCATTTTATTATGTTTTTATGGGTTGTAATTAAAAAAATATAATATATGAAATTAACTTTTCATCTGAATTGAAGTAATATTTTTAGGTAGTTGTTTACTATTATGCTTACTATCCAGCGTTAGGATTGCCAGAATATTTTTTTTTTTTTTTTTTTTTTTTTTTTTGTCGTCAACAATATGATTTGTACGGTCTGATAATGCAATTGTACCAAAAAAAAAATCTAAAATCAAATAAATATGTATGTATTTTTCAAGTTTTGGAAAGGAAGGTGGGGAACTAACCTTCTAGCAATGGTGAAAGGGGGTAGATGGGGCAAAACAAGTTGAGAACTTCTGATTTAGAGCCTATAACAGCTAGTAGAAGTTCTAGGTGGTAGTTATCCAAAGGGAGAAATCTATCATATCAAAAAACATCCATTGTTGTTGTGATGAGCTTTTAAATAGCAAAGAAAGGTTTTTTGAAACTTACTCTGAACCAAAATCCACTTTTTAAAGTTGTAGAAAAATCTTTTTGGAGACAGGTGATTCATGCTGTAAGATGTATAGCTGGCTTAAAAGGCTTCCTTGGTCAGTAAACATTAGGTTCTGCATACTTGAAGTATTGCCAACAAAAGAGGAGTCTTCCCCAAAGTGCTGTCTTGAGCTGCATACTCTTTAACATCATGATTAATGATTTGATAATTGGACTGAAAAAGGTCCCAGGTATTAAAGGTTTTTGCTCCGCTGATGATGTAACAATCCACATCATCAGCAGCAATGTATCTGTGCTAGAGCAAACACTAAAACTAGCACTTGAGCGTCTTAAATTATGGTGCACAGAAAATGACATTATTGTGCACAAAGACAAGACCACAGCACAGCTGTTCACTCTATTGATGAAAAAAATCAGCTAGACCTTCAGTATGATGGCTCGCTAATAGCTACAAAACCTACAGCCAAATACCTGGGAATACAGCTGGACAGTAGGAACTGGGCTCAACGCATTGATGATATAGCTACCAGGACTACCAAGAAGACATGTATACCATAAAGACTCACAGAGACCAAATGGGATGCAGTGCACTGATGGAATATGGATATGAAGCCTTTTCTATAGTTAGCAAAGACTTAAAAAAGAAACTAGACTCCGTTCAGAGTAAGTCTCTGCAGATAATCTGTTTTGCTGCAAAATTCACTCTAATCCTCTCCTTTGAATTTCAGGCAGAAATGGAACCTCTTAAAAGCTACCGAGACAAGGCAATGATGAAGTACTCCGAGAGAAGCCGAAAATGCCAGAGAACTTCTGAAAATGCTGTGCACCTGCGAGCAAAAGACTGAGATCTCAGAATACACTGCTAGCTCAGGCTTAGGCCTCTTTCAAAAATACAATCTGACGTAGGCCAGTGCCTGCCCCTTTAGAAGACATACGATCAGCCATGAAACATCTGAGAAACCATTTTAGATCTCTCTCTCAGACATAGATGAACGAAAGGCAGACGTCTATCCATACGTCCTGAAAGCAATTGCACTAGAAATGTTGCTCCAAAATACTCTGATCCCAAATGGATTCATATCTATACAGATGGATTAGATCAGAGTACAACAGCGGAGCCAGATTTTACTCCCTCCTTTCCAAAGAAGCTTTCTCTGTTAGCAGATCAATGACAGACTTCGACAGGAAGGTAATGGCTATAAGCGAGGCAGCAAGGGCTTTTTATCACCTAGACATCAAACAAAGAGTTTTCCTCTCGGACTGAATGACTGCAATACAATCTTAAAGGGCAGAACCCTCTGAAGAAACCCTTGTAGTCCAGTGCCAGAAAAAGACTCGTCAAACTACAGAAGACGACAGATATTGATGTACAGTGGATTCCAGGTCACTGCAACATTCTACCAATTATTTGCCACTTTTGACCTTCACTTAGATGATGCCTTTGAGCCATAACTACTGAATACTGATTACTCTCAGAAACCGCATTCCCTTTCAACAATTCTACAGACCAGAATCCCAAGTTGTGTCCATTATGCACACCATTGTCAATCACTGAATTGGCATATTTCCAGTGATAATGTAGGCACAGAAGTGCAGTTTTGTATTCAGTTATGCTTAATTAACATAAATAATTACAGCATTGGCCATTGGTTACAATAGTATATTTTTTCTCATTATCCTTTGACCAGAGGAAATTATTTGACAGATGTACCTTGTTGGCCTTCAGAATAATTCCTTTGTGATACATTGCATCTCTGTTGACTTTCATGTAGCTAACATAAACATCCATAGAAGGTCCTCATCCATATTGCCTTTAGTTCCGTTGTCACAACAGCTAAATATGTTTGAAATGTTTGATAATGTTTTACCTTTTACAGAGAAAAGAAGTGGGGAAAATGTTGAAGACAGTATAATTTAGTAACATGGTTGTTAGCATTATGTACATTTTCATTGCAATTTTACCTAGTTGACAACAATGTCATAGTAACTCTCTGCTTCATCATGTACTGCATTAATAATGCACTAAAAGTAACTACATGAATGGATGTCTGCCAAGAAATGTTGAAACATGTTTGCAGATGTTAGCTATTAAATTAAGGAGTCGTTTCAATGAAATTTTCGGTCTTCTCTTTTGTTACGGATCATGATCAGTTTATATTTTTTAAAGACGTGTGCACTAGAAAATCCATAACCTTTTTTTTTTTTTTTTTTTTTTTTTTTTTTTTTTTTTTTTTAGTATTGCAAGTATGTCTGGTTGGGTACATATGATACTGTCACAAATAGCCTTGAAAGTGAAGTGAGTGATGATCAAAAGAAAAGGGACTTTATGGTACAGAAATATGAAAAAAAAAGGTGGTATGTAGACCCAGATATAGCTGTGAAAAAAATGCAGGCTGATCAATTGACACGTCAGAAGAACTCGGTGGTACAACCTCAAATTCAAGGCATGAGAACGGGTACTCTTCCTGAGACTCAACCATTATCTCGTCTGTTGGGTAAAAGTCCAACGCCTCTTGTTGTTCAGACTACTCAGGTGAGTTGAACTAATGCTTATTTCAAAATACAAATTATTTTTTTATATCAATATAAAGCTTCATTAAAGCATAGAAACAAAATCATGTAATACTATAGATGTTGAGGTAAAAAAAAACAAAAAAACTTGCAGTGTATGTTTGTAACCAAAAACTTTTAACAAATTTTTTTGCTTCTGAAATTTAGTGGTTGGCTTATGTGCAAACTTCAAATAATTTGCAAGTAATTCAATCTAAAAAATAAATTAATTGAAAACTATTTATTTTTGTTATAATTCAAAAAATAGTTTGTATTATTTAATTGTGATATAAATTAATGAAATTTCTCAGTATCCCACTTAGAATTTTCTAGGAATTCTGCATGCTACTATCCAGTCTGGGTGAATGGCATTATCCACTGTTTCACAGTTATTACCATTATCATCCATCTCAGAGATATAATTGTCAGTTCCATTGATAGCAATGTTGATGCATTAACACTTTTAAGTGATTCATGTTTCAGATGGATAAAGACTTGACACATACTTATCTGATAGGTCTGGCTAAGTTGAGTGATTAATTACTGCAACATTTGGCAAAATATAGCTAAATATTGAAAGGAATTTTAAATTCAGATTATTCACAGATTTTCAGTTCTGGGTGAATTTTTGCAACAAAATCTTACATCTTGGCTTATAAGTGGATTCCTTTGTATTGTGAAATGTAGTGTTACGAATTTTGTACATAGATAGGTGATTTTAAAACAGTTATATAGGAAATTGTTTTATTTTTTGTGTAATAGTACATGAAAATCTAGAGAAGTGAAGCTTGCCGGCAAAGTAATACTGGAGAAAGTGTGTTTAACATCGAGTAAATGTCTGTCTTGTTAAATTGGTGAGATAACCACGAAGCTGGCAACGAATTTTTGTCATCAGATTCGGCGAGAAATCCGCAAAAGTTGCTAGATTTGACAACATTTTGATCCGCTTCCTCCTGTATACAGGGTTCGTAGTGGTCCTTACAAGTGCTTATAAGTCCTTATATTTGAAAATAAAATATAAAGGCCCTTATAGGTGCTTACTTTTTCTTAAGCCCTTTTTTTTTGTGTTTGAGGCCTTTTTTTAATGACCGCGTTTTCCCCCATACAAGCCGCATAAAACAACTTTCTTCTTCTATGAACGTCAGATGGTGATCAACTCCCGGAATAGCTTTCCCCCTTTCTCTGCATTAACGTAACCTATGGTGCGTGCAGAGTAGAGACCAGTGCACGCCGTTCTATGTCAACATTGCGAAAACGAGAAAATTCCGGTACATTTCGCATTTTTCCTTGCACCCAAATACTACACACATTTGAATTTCTATCAGATTTAATATTACATTCTCTTCGCGTGTCAGTCATATTCGTGTTTAGTATGATCGTTATCTTATATTATGCATTATATGAAATTTATAATAATATAGTTGCAGTAGCTGCTGAAGTTAGATAAACTCCAAAATGGGTTTATTTTTACACAGATTACCTTGTAAGGAATATTTCAGAATGGCTTAAATAAAATCAAGTAATACGAAAGTCAGATAATTTATATTTCTTTTTTTTTTTTTTTTTTTTCCAATACATTACAGTACGAGGTTGGAGGTTCTTCCTTTCTCTGCAAAATCTCAATATTGAAGCGCGCTGTCCAACCCCAGATGAGTAAGTCTCTTATTTAGTTCTTTATTTTCCGAATACCGGCAGCTGTTATTCGATTACGATTGCGTTATATCACTTTGGAAGATTACGCCACACGTATTGCGCAATAGTTTGCGTATTTTTGCAGAGTAATTAATTTTGATTTTCAGTCTGAGATTATTTATGAACACTTACTAAGTTATTAAGAGTTTTACTGTTCTTTCTAAGCAGAATTTTCTCAGTTCCGTTGGTCTATTTTTTAATGATGCACATATCGAAATGTCAAAATCATTTTTTAGCCGAGAATCTTAAAGAACGGCTACAATCCCCCCCCCCCTCTTTTTTCCAGTTCGCTCGACTTAAACGAATATTCGGCAGTTTCCGAGTATGCGGTTAGTAGCTTTTACTGTTAAAGAATGACTGATAAGCAATTTCCCGTCTCCTGATTTCAGAGTTCCACTTTTTACTTAACTTACTTGCTGAAATATATGTTAAGGGAAAACTGTATGCATGAAATTAGAAAATGTCGCCTTTTGCTTAGTAAATCTTTCAATATTAATGCGTGGAAAAACTCAATTTTTATTTTAGGGGCCAATCCATACAATTAGTATGCTTATTATTATTTATTTTCTATATTTGAACTGAATTTCATCATTAAATCTTGTAAATAGTTTTAGGTTCTGCATAGTTTTTTCCTCTCATTGTAAACTAATTCGTAAATTGAACTGTCTTTAAAATTCAAAAAAAAAAAAAAAAAGTTAATTGTTTCCCCTGTTTGTCATGCTCATTCTCTCTTAATAAATTTGCATGCTCATATTTTAAATTGCAAGTCCTAATTTTTCTTTAAAGGTTATGCAGTTGTGTATAATTAATTAGACAGATGCTTATTTTTTTTTCTTAAAATGTGCTTGAAAAGGGCTTATAGGTGCTTATTTTTTTAACTAAAATGTGGCTATGAACCCTGTGTATAACTGTAATGGATATTGTAATTGAATAACTGTAATTGATGCTGTGTGTAGCTGTAACTGTAATTCGGCTCTTACACGCCTGCCTTCCAATTATTTCAAGAAGCAGAAAGTACTAGAACTATCTCAGCCGAAAGGTGAAAACTATCTAAGACCAGAGAGGGCATCTGCTCTCAGTTGTTAGCTCAGCATGAGTACAGTACTGAGATATCTCTGAGTTAGCTTCACTCTTTAAATGTGCTTTTCATTGTGTTGTGTGTAATGTTCTCAGTAGTTAGAAGTGTTACTATTGATTATACTCTTTGATACTGTGAAGAGCTGTACAACTATTTTTCTGGAAAGTTCTAGAACTCTGAAGTGTTTCTTTTGATAAAATAAATTCTATCAATCTCTCATTGGACCTGTGTGTAATAAATCTATTACAAACTCATAGGTGCACAACAATAGATTATCCAAAAATGAAGAAATACTCTATGTTTTTATTAAGTTTTTAATTTAATGTTAGAACCAGCTGTTCTTTTTCAAAATTGTCTTTTATGATTTTTTCTACAATCTTTATATGTTACTTATAAATAACTTCTACAATCTTTATATGTCTATCCTCATTTTGAAAAAGCTGCTTTGTGTGAAATTATAAAGCTCAAATGTAATCATAATTTTTAGTAAACCTATATTCTTATCCCTAAAATTTCTATGTCTTTATAAGAAGTAAAAGCTCTCTCAATTGAAACTTTCATAAAACAAAAATGATAGAGTAAACCATACTGACTACATTATAAAACCCCCAAAATTAATAATTTCTACTATTGTTCTAAACTGAACTTTTTTCCCCAGAGTTCTTGTATAAAATATCGTTGCCATGACAAATTGGAAGTATTTATTTCAGCATGAATTGGGTCATTTAAAATTTTTAGGGCAGTAAAAGATTCCAATAAGTTCTTTAAGGGGGGGGGGACTTGTAATTCCAAAATGAATTTTGCTTATAACACACATTTACTGGATGCTGAAGAATGTTTCCAATGCTGTTTATCTGAGTTTTACTTTAAAAATGTAATCTTTTTTGTTAATAATTATAAATGTATGTTATTTTCTTAATATTTAAATAAAAAATGAATTTAAGTGGACTTTAAAAATTTAGTTTAAATGAATTGGAAAATAACAGTGTTGTTGAAAATTATCTGCTTAAAAAATGAGTAATTTCTTTCTCTAAAAGAAAAAAAAAAAAAAAAGTTATAAAAAATTTAAATGATGAGTTATCAGAAAGGAAAGTGGTATTAAGAAATTGCTGTTTTTCAATTTAGGTAAATGAGATTATGTTGTATGTGCGAATACCGAAAATTCAAAACATTTTAGCTCTGTGCATTCCAGTGTGCAATATACAGTTTTATGAGAGTCAAATTTTTATGTTTAATTTTTTATAAAGAGTGTAAAATTTTCCAAACTAGGAGATCATGTAAACAGTAAAATTTTATTCTTATAAAGCTGATATTATTTTAAATTTAAGAATGAAACACAAGGTTGATGCTTTGCTAAGTTTACATTTATGAAAGCTGTTTGTTTCATTTTAAGCACTTTTTTATTGGAAATATATAGCTATGACTAGTGGTTTTGAAATTAAAGGCCTTTTGTGGACACTGAACATCTTATATGCTAAACTTATTTGGCCATATTTATTGTTGCTTTTGCAGCCTGTTGATGTGTGGCCTCATCCTGTATCATCTGCTTCTGCTCCAGCCATAAGCACAAAGACAACAACTCAGAATCAAGGCAGCCGGTCTATCGACCTACTTTCTGAATTAGCTGGAAATAGTACGCCTAATACACAGGGTAAAGTGATGGAATAAAAATATAATCTTTTGTCATGACTTTTGTTTTAAATATTTGTAGCACAATTTTTATGCATGCATCATGTTTACAGTTCAGTCATCTAGTGCTTCAACAGCTAATGGGAATTTTGCCAATTTTGAAACTGCTTTCAACTCGGTAGAAAAATCAGGTTTGTTACTTTATCCAAAAATTCAGGTTTTTAAATGTTTTGTACTTATGAAATTCTATTTACGTTTTTCTAAAATTTATGGTGTAATTCTGATTAAAAAATTTTTATGTTTTAAAATGTATAAGTATAGAATTCAAAAGTCATTGCTGTTTATAAATTGATTACATAATCCATACTTAATTGAAAATAGAGATTATTATTCTTTTATGTTGTTTTTATTTTTCACATTAAGCAGTTTTCTCAGCATGCTGCATGTTAAAGGAATGTGCATATTTTCTAAAAATATCTCATAAAATAAAGTGCTTTGAAGTTCTTTCAGCTTGTCATATGCCATATCACAAATGCTGTTTTTCATGCATGCTGTCTAACATCTTCATCTAGATATAACTGACTATTAAAAAAAAATCAATTCAACTCTCAAATTCAAATTGATTATAACAGAACAGCTCAATACAAAACATATTTAATCCTTTGTACTGATTTGCTAGTCCTTATTCATCTCGTACAAAATGCATTTAAAAATCTAGTCATTTATGGCTATATTTACTCAAGAGTGTACAGTAATAAGCAGACTTTCAGAAAGTAATTGATTTAATACTTTTCCATTAAAGCCATACTATGCATTTTAGGTGTCATACTGGCACATTTTAGCTGATTTCTTTTCCATTCCTTTTGATAATTTTCCCACTTGATTTCTGTTAATTTCCACCGTGAAACCCTCTTGAAAAGTCCTGAAAAAGAAAAAATATGAAATAAACAAAAATACAGAAAATATATACAGTCAAAAGTCATTAATTCGGACACCCATAATCCGGAATGATCTATAATCTGGACCTCAAAGCTACAAACTTTCCTGCGCATAGCTTCGCGTTGATGCATGCGCGTAAAACCTTTATGGCTGCGAATATGCTGTGGCGCATGCCCAAATACGTTTAGCATGCGCGTTTAATGTATAATGGACGTATAGCTAAGCTAAAATTATCTAATTTAGTTAATGTTGCAAATTGCGTTGTTTTTTAATCTTCGAATTGGGACCGGCTTATTATTTTTCGCAAACTGTTAGACCAATTTTATAAAAGGAAGCTTGAACTTTCAATTATGTCAAATAGAATTTCCGATATATATTTACTAATATGTAAAGGATCTACAAAGTGAAAGTATGTTTCGAAGTCCATTAAACAAAAAGTGAAATTGCTGCAAAAAAAATGGATAAATGCATATCCTTTGTTTATCTAAGCATTCTGAAATCTGTTTATCAATTTCACGCTGCTCTGCGGCAGGGGGGCGCCGCGGCACGCAATGAACTGGAAGTTGATCTGTCAGCACTATCCTTATCTTCAGGGCAGATGTTTTTATTTTATTTAGCTTATAATTCCTTACTGAACATAGTATTTCATCTTGATGTTCTCCGTCTTTGATATGATTTAAATCAAATTCCTCGTCATTATAATTCGCTTTCAATGGCGAAGAAAGTAAAGTAAACAATAAATATTAAGCTTTTTTTTTTTTTTTTTTTTTTTTTTTTTTTTTTTTTTGTTTTTTTTTTTTTTTTTTTTTTTTTTTTTTTTTTTTTTTTTGTTTTTTTTTTTTTTTTTTTTTTGTAATTTTGATACCCTTAGATCATAATGTTCTTTATTTCATAAATTATGGTTTCATATTTTTAATTTTTTATAATTTCTGCATGCATCTAACCAGATTTAAATGATGATCGATAATCCGAATCGCCGAAGTCCCGCGAGCGGATTAACGACTTTTGACTGTATGATTATATTTATGGCTTCTTAAATAATTGAATAAAAATACAAAAAAAAAAAAAAAATAGCAATTAATAAACATTGCACTAAAAAATGAAATCGTGTAAAACTAAATAGTAAGCATAAAATTAAAAAGAGCATTTACCATAGCAGAGAAATTTTTCTTTTAGAACGCATGTTATGCCATATGAATTCATTTAGAGTCTAAGATGGTGGGCAGTGCATCTTTGGAGTTTATTGCACCACCCAAGAGTTCAATAGGTTGGGTATGATGCCAAGTATCCAAATCTACAAAAATCAGAATGATTTGCTGTGAAATATCCCCATGTTCCTAGATCTTAATTAGGGAATAATAATCTTTATATATATATATATTTATTCATATATATTTATCCATTTTTCTTATCTATCTATCTATATATATATATGTAAGAAAAATGTGTTTGTGTGAACTATAATTATAAAAATAATGGTCAGCTGAAAAGAAGCCAAACCAAATTGCCATTGTATGGTTCTGAAGAAATATAACAAAACAAAAACGTGCTAAGTGGCTTTAATTCTGATATTCCATTGCTTTGTTAAATTTATATTTCATCTGTAAACAAGTAAACATTTTTCACTTTCCATCAACTGAAATATATTGTGGGAGCTTTAAGACCTAAAAAATTGTCTTGATGGCACTATGGTGGCCAGACATTTGGGTTTATTAGATTGCTGCTGTTTTGGTGAGATAGTATCAAAGATCTGAAAATCAGTATTTGTTTACATAGTCAAAAATTAAATCCATGTGTAGCTTATCTTTTTTTCAAAGTTATTATTTAATTTGTTCATCAAGAAAAGTAATGAAAAGGATTTTGTTTTTGGAGAGGTTAAGGGGGAGGAGGAAAAGAAAAGTTTTTTTGATTGCAAGAAATTCAGTTTTATTAAAGCCAGAACCTTCTGTAATATGAACAGATTTTTAAGCATTTTGAAAAGAAAATTGTGGAAACTTTCTTAACACATTCGCTGCCGCTGGCGCATCAGCATGGCGCTACCTCCCATGCCGGTGACGCTCTGGGGCGACAATCGAGTATGATAAGTAAACTGCTTTAGTTTTAGTTCGGATTTGGAGGTTGAACGATGAGGTTTTTGCGGCACGTTAGTGAAGCATTATTTTTATATTTTCAGTGCGTGGTTTTTAAATTTTGTGTTTAATTTTTTTTTTTTTTTTTTTTTTGTGCATTTTTAAAAATGGCGACAGTACAAGTATTGCAGGACCTTCACAGCCTAAGAAAAGGAAAGTAAGTAAAAACTGACTGATGCCGAAATATTAGAATTACTAGAAAGAGTGATCTTTCTGATTATGACAGCGTAGACGATGAAGATTACGGTTGGGATTCTACGAGCGAATCGGAAGGAGATAGTGATGTCGCTGTGGATAACTTAGAAATGTCGGATTCTGACAACAGAAGATCAACAATTACCGTAATCCGACAGGTTGACTGGAAAACAGATCAAGTTGCATGGTAAGTCATACATTTACAAAATCTGAGTCCTTGCTAATACAGCCAACTGAAAGTACTCCTATCGGATTTTTCGCCTTTTCCTCACTGAAGTATTTTGGAAAAAAAATAGTCGAAGAAAGAAAGAAACAAATCGTTACGCATTAGAAATACAAAATAGCGATAAAACGAAAGAAAAGTCCGAATAACGCTTTGGAAAAATTTAAAAGTGGATGAATTTTTTAGTTTTTTGGGAGCATTCTTGCAAATGGGGACAGTAAAGGCCCGTTCCCACTGGGGTTTATCTGAGCTAACGAACACAACTAACGTAGTCGACCCATCCCCAAAACCAGTTTTTCCCCATAGAGCAGCAAGTTGAAAAATTGAACTGCAGGCACAGCGGAGCTAGTCGACACAGGGAACTGACTCCGTTAGCTCAGATAAACCCCAGTGGGAACGGCGCTTAAGAATGAATAGACTTCAGGACTACTGGAAGAAGGACCCATTATTTCATAATGCAGGCATTGCAAATAGCATTAGCCGAAATCGGTTTTTATTAATTTTACGTGCATTACATTTTGCAAAAAAATAGTGAACCTGGAGAACCTCAACCTACAGACAGGTTATATAAAATACGCCCTGTTATCGATTTTTTTAACGAAAGAATGTGCGAGATACATTATCCTAATAGAACTTTCTTTGGATGAATCTATGGTTATCTGGCGAGGTAGATTATTGTTTCGCCATACATAAAGAATAAAAGACATAAGTAAACGGTATAAAACTTTATATTTTGAGCACATCAAGTGGAATAGTGCAAAAGATTGCCATGTATACTGGTTTATTAGATGACTATGGAGGGCAAAACCATACAAAAATTGTTTTGCATTTACTGAATGAAAAATTAATGTCGGTCACCATGTTTTCATGGACAATTATTATAATAGCTTTGACTTGGCCAAGTTACTGTTAGATAAAAAGACACACTGCACAGGCAATTGAGAACCACTCGAAAAACACTCCAAGAATGTTTCAAACTACTAAATTGCGAAAAGGCGATACTATTGAAAGGTATTGTCAGGGAGTAATGATCGGGAAAATGGAAGATAAGCGTGAAGTGTCTTATATTCTACGGAATACAAAAATGAAATGGTTGACATTTTAAATAAACAAATGAAATAAAGCAGAAGCCTCTGCCAATCATCAAATATAATGCATTTATGTCTGGTGTAGATCGGCAAGATCAAATGCTGTCATTTTATCTCTCGGAGAGAAAATCACTACGCTGGTATAAAAAATTGTTCTTTCATACTATTGAAGTAATGCTAATGAATTCACATGCTTTTTATAATAAATATTCCGGAAAAAAAATATCACTTTACGAGTACTGACTGAACGTTGTAAAATCACTTTAGCCATCAACAGATGAACAAAAGCCGACTCCCAAGAATCTCAGACATACTCTTCAGAAAAGAGAACTTGCACTGGTAAAAACCAAAATACAAGAAAAAGGTGTACATCTTGTTCATCTCAAGGCAAACGCACGGACACTAGTATGAGTGCCGTGACTGTCCCGACAAGCCAGGATTGCTTGAATTGCTGTGAAATATACCATAAGTGATAATATTTATGCAGTACGTTCTACACTGACATTTTGTTTGTAATAAGTTTAATTTTTTTTTTTCATTTTCTATTATGTTGTTTATGTATATTATACAATATTTGTTACATTTTTTATAATCTTACATTTACATTTATACATATT